CCTGGTTCCTAGATTGAGTTCACATTGTGCTCATACGTTGCGTCAATAGAGTCCCGTGATCTGCCTATAGAGAGAATAGCGGTTCGGTGCATGCACGGGACTCTGATCGATTTCCATATTAACCCGTATCACTGCTTTCCGTGTTTCTGTTTTTTGTGTAACGTTATATTTGTTGCTGTGCGTGTAGTTTTGTGACTGAAGCAACAAATAGACCAAATCAATAGCTCCATCTAACTTGTACGCAGTCGATAATTTCGGTTTCCTTAGTTAAATGAGGAAGGCACATGTAGCACAACGACAGAAAATTTCACTAACCTCTGACCACGAAGCAGTACAGAAACACCGTGAGTAGTAGGAAAGCCGCCCTCATCGTGTCCACACAATAATGAAAACACAAACCAAATCTACTGAGTCTCTCCTGCGGGGTTAACGACAGAATCCGCGTTGACAAATGCAACTCGACAGGTTGGAGGGTTTGACAAGTCCCCTTTCTACTTCCGTGTACAAACCAACCTGCTCTTCTTCTGCAGATGTCTACACAGGGGTGAGGTGTACTGCCACCTAAAGGTTGAGGAGCGCAGCTATATCAGCTCTTTTCATGCCAGTGATGCTTGGTAATATTTGCCTGTTGTAGTGAAAAGTAGGCCTACTGTACTTGTAATTTTTGTGCTGCTTGATACTTGCTACATTGTCATGTCTCTGATGTCTCTGATGTATATGAGCTGGTGAAGGGACCTTTTCCCTGTAAACATTTTACATGGTTTCAATTAAATAATTCAGTGTAATTATTATCAATATATTCTGGTCTGTGCAACTTCTGTATGGTTGATAAGTTTATAAAATACAGTTTGTTTAAGATTAAACAAGTGGCTTGGTTTCCCTTCTAATCATTTCAGATGGTGCCATTTAAATAACTTGTTTGAATTCCAAACAGATAAAATTATCCAATATTTTACTAAAAATCAAAGATTAGAGACAAGTCTAAAATATTAATATAAATGTATGTATCAGAACTGTTTTATTTCTTCTTTCTTCCCCAATTAATCATCTCTACTCCTAAGATTTATTTTGTGACCATTTGGAGGGGCTCGATCCCTAGGTTGGGAACCACTGATCTATACTACCAAACTTTCCTGTATAAAATATTTAGGACTAGCTCCAGTGACCGCTACTTGCACATTGACAGTATTAATAATCTTATAATGTAAAATACAATAATGTGTAATTTGCAAAAAAAGTACTTTTACTTTAGATACTTTTAAGTAGCCTATAGTTTGATTATAATGATTCTGTACATTTACTTAAATAAGATTTTAAAGGAGGGAGGCACAGTGGTGAAGTGGTTAGCACTGTCACCTCACAGTGAGACGGTTGTGGGTTCACACCCCAGATGCCCCAGCCTTTCTGTGTATTTTGCATGTTGTCCGCACGGGTTCTCTCCGGCTTCCTCCTACCATCAGACTAGGTGAATTAGTGTCTCCAAAATTGTCCTTAGGTGTGAATGTGTGTCTGTCCCTGCGATGGACTGGCGACCTGTCCCGCCTTTTGCCTGATGTAAACTGGGATTGGCTCCAGCCCCCCGCAACCCTGTACGCAGGATAAGCGGTTGTGGATGGATGGAAGATTTTAAGTGAATGACTTTAACTTGTAATGGAATAAATGGTGGTATTTGTACTTTTACTTTTTCCACAACTGTTTGTTAGAGCAACAAATGAACCTCATCAAACTTTTAATTCACTAGTTACCACAGTGCCTTTCCAGCTGCTTTACACAAAACATAAGGATTATCACCTTTCTTCGCATGCATTCATACAACCTATCTGTTTTCTTGTAAGGCATGGCTATTAATCTGAATGCTGAAAGAAATCAAATGGTCAGACAGAACCAAAATTCCTCTATGTCAACCTCAGATCTTGCCACTAAATAAAAAGATAGAGATTAATAGAGACAAATAGAGATTTAATATTTAGGCCAGATTTACTTGCTATTGTATGGCTGAGGCTGACACCTTCCTATTGTACTCACATTAGATTGTAAAGGAGAAGACACACTGATAAAGACTTAAATGTTATATTTATTATTATACATGACCATTTTTTATTCTAATGATCCTCCACATTAGGAGTGGAGGAGATAATGTTTGTGTTATTACAGTTACCCACAGGTAGGTGCTGACATGATGGGGATATTCGTTCCACATGAGGTGGTTGTGTCAGTTTTTGACCTTATCAGCAGATGGCAGTATTGATATACAGTGCAAGTAAAAAATGTGACAAAAGCATCATGACACCAGATTACTTTATGTCTGTGTGATTGCGGGGGTTTGCAAAAACCCATTATATAATCCTACAATAATTTGAATGGGTATTTAATCTAGAGAATAAACTACCATTAAGTAAAACAATTAACATAAAGGCACTAAACTTTACAGCTGAGCAACACAAGTTACAATATTTAAGGGATTACAAGTGTATTTGTACAGTAGCTTCAGAAATTAGATAATCATCAAAATGTTAATTTGAGGTGTTTTACATCTCAGCTGGGTGTGGGGGACCTGTGGATTCATGTAATGAATATGTCTTAATTGTGGCAGGCTATTTGACATTTGAAAAGTCCGATGATCCCTGTCATTCTTGACACTCATTTGCATTTCCATCTTTAAGGTCAAATGGGTATGAATAATACATTAAGGAGGTTGTTAAGCTCACAGCTAGCCATACCTACCTTCACAAAGGCGCCAGCTGAGTCTTGCTAAGCTCAGTGAAATGTTACAGAAACAATCAATTAATACACTTTGGGAAACCACATGTGATGCAAACACAGCATCCTGTTATTAATGAGAGTGTAAGGTCATGAGTGAAGATATATGATCAGCCTTTTCTGATTAGTTTTATGTAGTTTACTTCTTCATCAGAAGAACACAATGACTTATCAGGGTCAGCCCTTGTTGTGTGCATTCACACTAAAATGTGCTGTTGCCGGTGTGTTTTAGTGGTTTTAATTGAAAGTGTTGCATTTATTTATTTAATATTTATTTTATTTTAGTGACTTCTCAAATGACAGTTCTCAGTGTAATATTACACTTTAACTATCAAAGGAATAACCTGGAATAAATTCCAGATCAAAGGAAGGCCCAAAAAAAGAACCCTGGCAAGAGATTGGAAGAATTTAATGAGCAAAAATTAACATGTATTAAATCTGACCTCGTGCTTACATGGCAGATGTTGAGTGGAGCAGCAACCAGATACGTTATTAATAGATAAACAGTGGTGTATTACATTTTGAGTGGAGCATGGGAATTTTATGATAACATACCTTTTATTCCATTTCAAATAGATATTTTGTTTAAAACTGAGCAAATTGCCTACGCTTTAAAAGTCCTACTTGCTCATGCATTATTTACTTAATTGAATCGATCAAATTGTGTTGTAATACTAATGTTTTGATGGATTTTAGGGTTATTTCCTTCAATATATTATAACTCATACAAGGTATAAATAAGTAGGCACAGGTAGGGGAAACGTATTTAATAAAAGAACAACTTAACCAGCACATTTGAAGTCATTCTCTTGGGGACTGAGTCTCATAATAAGGGGAACTGTCTTAGGAAAATTGAACATTGCACTGGATGTATGGCCTTGAGGAGACATTTTTGCTGTCTGTTTTGACAACTCATTACCTGTAATTTCACTGACGGATTGGTGAAGTGGCTCAGAGTAGGCAGCTGTAGCACCAGAGACTGTGTGGTTTGTCTCTGAAATGATGTAAGATATAACAGCAAACAAGCAAAGACTTATTATGGCTAATGATTGCTTAAAACATTGCGGGGGAGACTTGACAGTTTGGTGCCTCTACTGTGCGGGTTAGGCGAGCAAATGGAAATACATCCTCAGTTCACTTGTGTGTAGTTTTATGACGCTGACATTTGATTCTGTTGCTGACAATTAACAGTAAATTGATGATAAATAATATTTGCTCAGTAAATCTTTGTAAAATCAGTAAGATGACTGTCATTGTTTAAGATCATTATCATGGCATCTAAAGTCAAGCTTAAAATCAATTAACCCAGACTGCTCTGTTGGTCCAATGTGGCTGATGCTGTCTACTATCTGGAAAGGTATCTTTATTTGTAAAATGCACATGCTGAATCCAATCAGCTGAAAGACTGTAAAAAACTAGCATTTCCCAGCTCTGTTGATCTCCCTGTAGGTAAGAGCTTGTTTCTAAGTCAGTAGGTGGTGGTAGGGGTTTGTCAGTGGGCTCATCCAGGCTGCCCCCCCCCCCCCCAAGATCCGACATAATTGGTTTATCCCTGGCACTTCTCTGCATCTCCAAAGCCACCAAAAACTGTAACCTACCTTGTGTATTTTTCACTAATTGAAATGCCTAATGAGGTCCCAAGGGCTCCATCCCATTACCTCTGAGTTAATTAAAGCCTAAGCAGTGTGCCAAACGGTGAATAAAGATGCAGTAAAAGTGCAAGAGGAACAAGGAACCCGGGCAGGGTTCGGTGTGCTGGGATGGGGCTGACCTGCTTTTCTGTCATTGTTGTGGGACGCTATATTTTGAGAAGGAGCAGATGTCTATTATTTTTTTTATTTGTATTTATTTTGGGCTTCTTATTTTGTTACCCTGGTTCAGGCACACATTTTCCAATGCGGTTAGCCTAATTCTGCTTTATTAAATGTTAAACTCCTTGCCACCATAAGCCAGGTTTTAATGAAGATGTTCCCTGTTAAGAAATAAAGCATAGCACAAGACTGAAAAAAAATGACAGGAATGTTATGGACTCCTATTCTATTTCAGTGACGTAATAAAATTATACTGCTCATTAAATAGACATTTTCAGCAGCTACAAATGGCATTTATCAATTTGTTATGCACTGTGGTCACTATTATGAGAATATTTATCCAAACCACATTACCTTGTTAAAGAAACTTCTTATTAAATGACAAAAACATGGGCTGATAGAATGTGAAAAGACAAGAAGAGGCATTTCTTTTAAGAAACAATTTCAAATGTTTATTTAACATGTCAAAGAAGGGGCACACACTCGTGAATTGAAAAGGGGGCTGCAATTATTGGCAAGTACTATGACTTAAACTTTATACTAACATTAATCAGTTTTGGCTAAAAAGAAAACATGTTTTTGTTCCTTTTTGTTTTTTAAAGAAACTATGTACATTGGTTGTTTTATACAAGAGGTTCATTGGATAAATGCATCAAAAAGAAACCAGTTCTGCAGTAAACTTTACAAAAAATACATTTTGTTTTCATTCAGAGATGTAGAAAAGGAGACAGTCAAATATTGACCAATAATATTTCTTCCTTTTCATTATTTAGAAAAAAAGTTGTTCTAATACCTATTTAAAAGAAAAGCAATATACAGCACAATAAATGGGGAAAAATTGCCTTTGCGGATTCATTCAGTTGGTTTGGTAACCAAGGAGAGGGGCTGTGACTGGAACAGGGCATGATGGGAGTGAAGGGCTGCCTGATGGAAAGGGGAAGGGGGAGAGAGCATTGAGTGGTGCAGAGAGGTGAAGGGGATTGGCCGGGTGAGGATGGGTGTGGTCGACTGGCTACCTGAAGTACCAATTGGGATGGAGATGGAGGGTTGGGAGGAGGATGAGGAGGAGGAGGAAGAAGAGGAGGAGGATCCAGAAGCCTTCCCAGGTAGGGAGAAGTGGTGGTGCATGCGTCCCTCCGGTTTGGTGGTGAGCGATAGTGGCTGCGCCTGCTCAGAGTGAGTGGCAGCAGGAGCAGCCGGGGAGGCCAAGGCCGCAGAGGGAGTGGCTGGTGAGTCCAGCATGCTGCCATGAGACGACGCAGGGCTGTCGCACATCTTCTCCGAGGGCAGGTACTGCACGCACTGCTTCTTGTTTCTTATCGAGAAGTCTGAAAGAAAGTGAAGAAGCTGAATTATGGATCTGCTTCTGGCTTCAAATCTGGTTCATGTCCCTCAATGCTGCCAGTGACAGAAGTGAATGAGTGATTACTAAAACAGTGGAGATGATGGCGGTGAAAGCTCTGAAAGCATGACGCGTTCAAATAAAATTGGAAACACAGTACAAAAGGGGGGAGCGTAACAGGATGTTAAACATATCCAGATGGTATGCATTTATGATGCAAAAAACACAACATGACACACTACATTAAAATGTGCACTGGAGTGTGGAAAGCTCTCTTATTTTGAGCAAATTACAGTGTTCATTGGGTTGGGCAACAGCAGACATACCTGCCACTATTAGCACTGAACCTCATAAGCTGCTTGTCAAAGTATAGAAGTGGGGAAAGAAGTTAATATGTGTTAGTGAAGAAAAGAATCCATGCAAAAGGATAGATAAACATAATAGAAAAAAGACGCACTTGAGCTTTGCAAGAAAAAAAACTCCCTAGCTTTGAGTTTACTAGAGTTTTTCTTTCTTAGTCCACTTTGTGAGGAAATTAAACTGATAAAGGTGGTCAGGAGGATAAGGCCCTTTACCTTCTGGTTTGAGTCTGGTTTGTTGTCTCTCTTCCTCTTTTTCCGCTTTCCCTGCACAGATAAAACAATGCCATAAAAAACTGAAAGTAAGTAATAAGCCACCTCAGCAAGTACAGTTTATGACAACAAAAGTATGATTACTTAATTAAGTGCTTCAGTCACATGTGAGAAAAACTGTTTTTCTAACTTTCTCAACTCATAAACATAAGACCTGATCAAAATGTGCTACTCACATAGTTATCTCGTGCTGACCATCCTGGATAGAGCTGGGAGTGGAGCTGCCTCTCTTTTCGGGCCAGTTCATAGTATTTGGCTTGTTCCTCTCTTGAGAGGGAATGCCACTGTGGACAAAGAGAGAAGATATCAAAGGACTGTTAAACGCACACACAAACACACGTATATAGTTGTAAACTCACATGCACGCCTGTGTCCGTGCTACTTACCCGTCTTCCAAGGATCTGGTTGATGGCGGCGCTTTCTTTCAGAGTGCACTCTGCCACTACTTTGGCTCTCATCTCCTTCATATACAGCATGAAAGCATTCAGGGGTTTCTTGATATGAGGCCTCTTGTCCTCTTCTTTCTTGGGAGGAACGGGGGATTTCCTGCTAATTCGAAAAAATTAGTAGGAGGCTGTTAATATACTGTGAATGGTAAAGACGTAGTGGTGAGTTACAGCAAACAAGGGGAAATACTATGCTGCAACAAAAGCAGGTTTTGATACAGTTAAAAGACTATTTTAATTTTTCTTACGCATGCATTGAGGGGCTAATGTTGTCGCCACTGGGCTCCTGTTTGATAGCTGGGGAGACGATGGCAGGATGGGGAATGCCTGTCTGGTGGAGGCTGTGAGGAGGCGGAGTCACCATGTGAGGGGAGAAACGGCTGGACACCAAGCTGAGAGGGCAAAAGGAGGCAACTTTTTAACAGTCGAATTTAACAGTGAACCTCTGTTAACCTGACGAGAAAAAGGTTGAGCTAAGTTGGCACATGAGTGCACTGCCTTACCCTCCGGGCAAAATTTGTGCCTACTGCGTTTGTCTAGACTAAATTCATACACACAATGACTGAAACGCTTGCTTTTTGTTCAAATAAAGACTTTTTCAAAAGCCCCTTTATTCAGCAAAGGCTGGAGAAAAGTGGAGTGTGTTGTTACCATGGTGACAGCATGGCCGTGACACCTGAAACCACTTTCCTTACCACGTTCCAGACCATGGAGAGCGTTCTGACAGCCGTCCACACAGAACACCTTTACAAAGTGTGTCTCTCAATTTCCAATTGTTAATACAATGGAGCATTGTAATGAACAACGAAGGGAATTAAGCTCCATATCCCTCTATCAAACTGTGGTTAATGTTAAACAGGAAAATTCTTTTTTAATTCTTTTAACTTGTCACGCAGACAATGCACAAGTATGAGTGAGTTTAGAGTCATCAGCTTTGCCTTATGATATACAACCCAGTGTTAACGTATATACGGAGTTCTAGTCGAGGTTACACATGCTCTCACAGAAAGATCCTCATTCAATATTCATTATCTAACTGAATGTGTGTAAATACACAAAGTCTTAATCTGTAATTAAGAACTGAGTTTTTGCTTTGTTTTTTCTTTGAATCACTTAATAATTCATGCTGTATAAACAAGGAGGTGCCATATCATTCCCTCTGTAATAAACCTATACCGACTACATCTGTAAACATCCCACTTAGTCCCAGATGAATAACTCAATGCTGCTCTAAGTGGTGGCATGCAGTCAAGCTCCACATTTAGAAAATAATGCTATTTATGTAACCTATGTCATTGCGATTAGATTTCATGTTTACTTTAATTCTTGCTTGTTTAATTTTCACTTACAATTTTAGAGTTACATCTTATGCAGTCTGATTAGCAAATGATGTCAAAAATATTAGCTTCACACAGAAACTTAAATAAAATCCTAAATCAGATGCATTAAATAGTAAAAAACTTCTGTGAGGTATGTTTTGATTGTTGAGAGTCCATCTCGGGATTGGAGCTACACATGCTATTGATCACAGAGACCCTTCAGAATATTTCCTCTTATACTAACACCGGAAGGCTCGCTACAAATCTTTCCAATTTTGAAAGAGGGTGAGAGAGTTAAGTCTGATGGGACGTGTAGGTTCAGATGAGCTTTGATTTGTCCTAATCGATTCTCAGCCCTTTCATCTCAATGGTGTGTGTGTATGTTGTGGAGAGGCTCAGAATACTGGCCTGACCACAGAAGTTTAGCTCAGAGAGAAAAGACAGGAGAGGAGTACTGAATGCCAATAATGCGTTCACTCTATTTAAAAAGCTGAACTTGTCTGTGATCGACTTAGACCTCACATCCCTTTGTAGTCCCGACAGCGCTGCCTGTCCGTGATCTGACAATGTTTGTCAGAAGTGCAAATTCAAAATAGGATCTCTGCTGTTTCAGTAACATGTTTCCAAAACAGTTAAACAATGTAAACAATGGAAGTTTTAAACTCCACACTAGCCATATTGTACCTAGTGTTTAAGCAGGTTGGCAAAGAAAGCTGGAAAATGTGATTACAGCATAGCATAGAAGCAGTAGATATTATATGTCTCCCTTTGGGAGGGTGGGGGTGTTGCTGAACTTGATCCACTCACCTGGACATGGATGCATTCATTGCTAGCGCTGGATAGGGGTGACGGAATCCCCCCGGAGAGATGGAGTACATGGGCTGGCCCTGCCTGGGAGACAGAGGGAGACAGAGTGAGCGAAAGCTCCAGTGTGAGGTGGATCAAACACAGCTGACAGCTAACCCACCAGCATTAATCCTCTACTCATCGACTCAAATCCCCTGCTTGTGGAACAGCACTGTTGCAATTGATTACGAGAGCCGTAGCAAAACCCATAAATGTTCATAAATTCCTCCTGGTAAATTCAACTATTTTAATTTGTTATTGTTCTGATTCCCGCGACCCTGTACGCAGGATAAGCGGTTGACGATGGATGGATTGTTCTGATTTTGAGCACCTGCACTTAGACAACAGAGCATACAAATCAGACATTGCTTTAAATTGCAAAAACGTTGTCCGTGTCACATTTTTCTTCTTGCTTCTTGATGTGAACTTCAAAAATGTGTTGTGCTTTCATAAATTGCAACTCACCAGAGTAGCTGGTTGAAATAAGCCACTCAACTGACAAAAGTTAATTCGACAACATCAGTGCTTTAACAGTAGTGTGAACACATCTGGTTTTGTGGACAGCTGAAAGTAAAAGTAACTTACTGTTGCATGAGCCAGCCCAGAGGGTGTGCGATGGAACCAACAGCACCCGGAGACAGGGGGTAGTATGGAGAGAGTTCCGATGGGTGAGGCGTCCGAGGAATACCTGCAGGTGCCGCAGACAGAATAAACCAGCTTTTAAAAATGCAGCGCATACCTGCTAAGGTAACATGCTATTTTTATAGATGAGTTACTTACAAAACAACAATACTCTTTATAATCCATCTTTTGAGGGAAGGTTTGAGAGGTAGCTGTATAAAGTTTGTAGTTTCATACTACAACAGCTGTCAGGAATTCACTTTCGTGATTCCAATAACGCCAAGTTTTCATGGTGGAAAAAAGGTAACAAAATGTCAACAGAAACTTGATCAGTAGGTTCCAAACAGAAACAGGTTTGATCAAAGTGTGTCTAAACACACTTTTTCTTTTTCAAATTTCATGAACCTGTTAGGCTCATTAGCGTTTGTTTGTGCCTGCCACCTGTTTCAGTACCTACTGCGACAAGTGGCTGACTAAAACCTCTGAGCTTCATAAAAGATGGAACTACATTTTGTACAGCCACACAGAGAGAAATCACTTCAATCAGTCAGTGTCCATCCATGAGACTTTACCTGTCTTTGGATCGAGGATCTCTGGGGAGAGGTGCGATGGCGGCGTGCCGGGGGAGAAGTGTTCATTGCTGTATGTTATGAGGGGCGTCAGTGGGTGGACATGGTGAGCATGCTGCACAACTGGGACTTTATTGGACTGTTGGTAAAGAAAAAACAAGAGAAGATCAGAAACAAAGAATTTATGAGCAGGAGGAGACCAGTGTGCAACAAGTGCCTGACACATTCAACATTCAAAACAGAGCGAATGCAAAGTAATCCTGTGCTTGTAGATGAAACAAGCACATTACTATCCCAAACTGTATACATGCACATGATTTCTGTTGGCCATTGCTCAAAAGAAATGCATGGAGTAAATAGGTCATCATGTGTGAATGCCCTCCATGGTAAACATCACAGTCTGTGCGTGTGACCGGCCCTGTGATGCAATCTGGACCAGCACCAAGGAACACTAAAAAGCCTTACAGACACATGCCAAGACCATTACGGTCATTTAGCTGAGGAGAGAACTGTTTGTTCAGTCCAACAAGAAAAACAACGGTGCCACCGAGTCCAACAGTCACACCAGCAAGCAAACAAATACAATCAGGCGAAGGTAAACTGAATACCCATAAACAAGTGGAGACATCATCTCCCACTCTGTCTGACAACACTCACTTGATGGGAGTAAGCACACACCCATGGGTGGATTACACTGCCACTCTTATAATACCGTGCTTATAGAAAAACACTACCAATGTATAACTTAAGATAATTGGTGAAGAACAGAAAGTCTAGAGATGAAACTTCCTTTTACATGCAGTGTGGATCTCTCTCATTTCAACAATACTTGAATAAATGCAGATCTTTGCCAGGATCTGACCAGCATTACGCCTATGACGAGGATGATGAAGACAATAATAATAACCAGCGTCTCTACTTTCATTAGGCAGCGCTCAGCCTCGCAGTCATTTCCCCTGGCTGCCTGGCTGAATAGAGCACTTGTTGGCTCAACTTGTCACATGGGAGGGTCAAGGGGTGGGGGTGGGTGGGGGGGGGAGTGGTAGAAAGGAGTCTTGTTCCTCCAGGCTAACCTTTCTTCAATATCCCTTCCCACCCCCTTCTCAACCTCTCGTCTCTCTCCAACGTGGTCTTCTGCTAGGAAACAAGGTTTGCATTGAGGCTTCTGTACACTCTCTTGCTTCACGCTGCTTAGAATTGTTCCAAATCGTAGCTTTTTTTTTCAAATTTTTTTTTTTAAGGAAGGCCCAACCTTTTCCTCATTTTAAATCTTTAGCAAATTGGTTTCTCCCACGTCTAAAGCACGCTTTGATTCTGGTAATGCCAGATGGAGTGAGGAAAATATTTACTGGTGTTAAACATGGCTATATAAAGATCACTTTGCAGAAGACTTTTTTTGGTTTCCTCCAGACTCCAGAGCATATAAGGTCAATGTATATGATGATGCGCAGAGAACACGATTTCACACACAGAAAAGGCTTTGATAAAGCTTCATGGCAGAAATAGTGTTGACTTGCCGGGTTGAATTCCCAGGTCCCACATGTCATGTATATTTGAGTTTGCTTTGTTGTTCTACTTCATGTACAATATGCCTGAATTTTCCCTATATTGTGAGGGCTGTTCGAGACCTCTAGACCTGGGTGCCAACACATTTTGGGAAGCACTTCAGTGAGAATTTGAAATGATGCCTTTATTAATTATTCATATCCTGGAATACACCAATCGTGTGCTCTAAACATATTTCTAACTTTGAAGGCACTAGTTTCAACTCCAGGCTGGATTTCAGTTCAGCAGCCCAACAAAATGTGGAGAAAAATGAAGTACGCAGGTTGCACGGATGCAAAACTATTCTGACATGTATCTTACCTGCCACAATGTCTCCTGTTAGAAAAAAATATTGCTGCTTCATCACAAAAGCTCTTTTCTTCAGAACATTTTTTTTGTTAAATCAATCAAAATCAGCATAATTTTTTAAACCAATTTAAATTAATTAAGCTCTCTGGAGCTCTGAGAGCATAAAAACTTTAGCAAAATTGAAAAACTAGACTAACTTGCTCAATCCTGACTTAAAACTAAACACTGTGTGTATCAATGCCTTCTTTCATTTGCTTTATGTGTAGAGGTAATATTCCGTCAGCCCATGACGGCTTCATATGTCTGGTTTCATGATCCACAAGCAAAGTGTAATAAGGAAGCCACAAGGAACATGAGCCTTGTTTTAAATATAAACAACATCTACGCGATAGGACCAATAAAGGGCAACGTGGAACCAGATGGTATCTACATCGACAGGCAGAAATCATGCTCTTTACATAGACATGCTTGTTGCAAACAGGTCTGCAGTGGTGCAGACATCTCAGCATGCAAGAAAAAACACCCAGAACTGGTCTTAGAGTGATTGGACATAGGAACAGGAAGGTTTAAAGGGGGAAAAAAACACAGCAAAAAGTTGCTGAGCCGGTGCAGAGAAAAGACGTCTGTCTCTTAAGAGGTTTTGAAACTAAAAGGCCGAGGTGGCAGTACCTCGTTTGGCTGTCCAACTTGGAACGGCGCTAAGAAAAGCATAGTCCTTGGTCAATGTGGGTGGAGGGGTGGATTTCATTCAAGCAAACATGTTTTTGGATCCTGCACATCTGAATTGAATTACTAGGCAAACAGCCGATGGGGAAGAGAGCTTAGAACAAACTGAATAACCCCGCAGCTTTGTGTGTCTTTATGCTCGGTGATTCTGGGTGGGAGGCTCAGAGGCCTTTCAAAACTGCAGGAAAGACAGGGTGAAAAGAATGCCTGGCATGCTGAGAAATCCAAGCCTTGTTTGTCAACGCCAACAGGAAGCGGACGTGAGAGGGGACTGACCGTGTCATATGTCTTTAAAATCAACCGCTCCAAAACTATGCCATTCATCACAGACAACATGTGCGTTACGTCTGGTCATCGCTTCTGAAAAGGTCAATGGCAGTTATATTCTAGCTTAAAATTATACAGCGCAGAGCGGCGACATATTACTGGAGTGAATATCCCCAATGGTCATTAAATAAATTGAAAGAGTGGTAACATAATCAGAACAGCCTATATATGCACAAACATGAAAAAATCTCATTTGGATCTCGTGTGGTAATAAATATTTGTGAATTAACATACGTTAACATTATTGTCTAGTAAGTCTGCCACTAATGGACAGTATCTAATAATTTCCCTCATGAACTCATTTCAGAGTTTGACTGGAATCAAAGCACCGGTTCCTTATTCCATTTCTGAAGAGGAGCTTGTCTCTGCAGCGGCCCAGCAGGGCTGCAGACCTTGGATCAGTATTCAGTTCAGTCCTCCCAAACCCTTTGATTTCATGATGGATCCCGGTTGTTCGCTGCCTAATGCAAAATGAGAAAATCTCCCTGGACTCCCAGTCAAAGGTCTGCTAAAAGAATATGGGTAACAAGTATATGTAACGCTCCGAGAGGAAATAACAGCATACTTTTAAGTTTATATCTCTACTTAAACTGCCATATAGCCCTGAGGTTTGAAGATTGCCCCAGAAAAAAAGGCATCTCTGATATGATGTTCTAGACCTTGCCACTTCAGCTCAATTAAACAATTTGGTGACTAAGTGACTTATGACACCGTGACAGGACCAGTTCCCTCAGTGCCTTGACTACTCTAGACACTAATACAATATTGAAACAATGAGGGCGATTCTTGTGTCCTTGTCAAGTGAAGATCAGCCGTAACTGACGGACAGCAATTCTGGTCAGTTCTACCTCATTAGACAGTCACAGCTCCGTCTAATCCAGAATAACAGTACTAGTCAGTGTAGTCGGTAATGACATAGAGAACAGGCCTTATGGACAAATTACTGCAAGTGACTGAATGACCTCAGTGAGGGAAGTACGCAGCATTGACATCATTATCAGCTGAGTGTTAATGACTGTGAATCAGTAGGTTGTGGAAGATGAGTACAAGACATACATCATTCAGACAGCAGTGTCTCCTCTCCTCTCCTCCCTGGTCCAGCTTGGCCACTACTGATGGGCTGACAAGTTCCCCATACTGCATCACCTGGCCCTGCAGCGCCTTTGATGTATTATTCATGATGAGGCAGCCCTCTGAACACAGGAGCTTATATGGGGGTTTTGGGGGGCTTCGATGTATGTGTCTACATGCACATGTGTGTTTGTGTGCGTGTGTATGCACGGTGGGGTGCAGTATGTTCATAGAAGCGCTTTTTCCCTTCTTCCCAGTCCCCCCACCCCACCACCAGCACCACCATTACTACCAAAAGCAATACCAACTGAATGCTAAACAAACCTGCCTGTTGAATAATTGAGGATCTCAGGCCAGAGCAGGCTCTGATTAGCATACAGGCCTTATGGACCCAATCTGCACAGTGACAGGATGGTCTTTCCCTGGACTTTCGTATCCACTGAATGCTCTGATTTCTATTTTACATCCTCCTAATGTTGTTCCACATTGCCAGAATCAGCAGAAATATCAAAGCAATTTCAGTTCAAGCAACAATAATTGCATGGATCTCTGCAGGCATACGTAGAAATGTGGGGTGATCTTCACAAAAAAATCTAAATATCACATTGTCTTCCTGTTGTGTCTTGTCAGTCGCTTTTTATTAATCTAGAGAGGCCCTTGACTGAGCAGGCCTCCCAACTAACACACTGTAAAAGCGCGATCACTAAACTAACATTATGCATAGTTGCATTGTCTTTACATTCCAAACCATGTCAGTCCATCATAAAAACTAAACAACAATGTCATATTCAACACATGCTTGCGGAATGACTGCAGTAGTGCAGGTCTGCTTTAGGAGTCCCTGCTGGTGTCTCCTCACCTTCTCTCCTCGGGTCTCTCTCTCTGGCTCCTCTTGGCCCTGGGCAGTAATCCCTGGCCTCTCCATGTGTGCCCATCCGCTCCCCCTGCTCTCATTAGTGCAGTGTTGGGGCCTGGGGAGCCTGCAGGCCTGGGGAGCCAGCCTGCTGCTCCCCTCCCACTCTCCCTCTTTCTATCCTCGGCTAGAGTAATGAGCACATAATCAGCCTGGCTCCCTGTCAGCAGCAGCACACCAGAGGGGCATGTGGGCTCCTGGCCCAGAGTGGGGGGTAAGGCCACAGCGGGGTGTTTCACTTTCTATCCTCCTTGCCCAGGGTACACCGTACCCATTATTAGACCTTTTCACCACACATCAAATGACCCTCTGGTCACAGGTCACCAGATCAAGCGTGGTGACTTCCACTTTTAGTTCACTGAAAGCTGTTAACATGTTCATTGAACTTCACTACCTTTCTCACTTTGCTTTAAAAGGAAAACGTTACATGACTTCTTAGACAATAATTTTGCATTCATATAAGGTTTTTGACCTTGGACTGCCCATTCATTAGAGCTGTGCCATTCAGTTAGTAAAATGATCACAATGAATATGTCTTGTTTCGCTTAAAAAGTAAAAGTATGGATTTTAATTCAAGAGATAAGAAGAAGCCTCCATCTATGATAACAGCAATGTAGAACCTGCATATACAAAAGTTGAATGTACAGATATAAAAGCAGCAAATTAACAAATGCTGCACACTTAAGGAAAGTACATATTTCAGTACAAAAAAGTCAAGGCTACTTATATTATTCAGACAATGTGAGTAACATTTCTGCCAGGAAAAAGTTTGATCCCTCACATTCTCAGTCTTCTACAATGTTTCTTTCTGTATCGGCTTTTTCAGTTTAATGACGTTCAACGAGCTGAAGACCAAACAAAAAGAGAAAAGCACCAACACAGAGCCACATGAAAAGTAGCAGCAACCACTGAAGAACACAACAGAAACCATCCAAGCCGAGGGCTAAATTCTTTAAAATCAGTTTGCTGCAACAAACCTTCAAACAATAGCTGCTGTGTCCCACAGAAAAATCAACAGGGTCACAAACAGGTCAGCATTTATTCTAATAAAATATCTTTAATTGGTTTCCATTGAGACTCAAGTCAGTCCAGGATTCCCATGAGCAAACTACGTCCCTTCCGCAACAAGTTCTCATTGACGCTGTTCAATGAGGACTTTGTCATGTGCATCACTGTGATTATGGGATCCAGCAAATAAACCACAAACTCAGCAAGCACGTCTAGCCAGGATATGTAAGGTCAAGGGGCTGAGTCACAGTGGCTCTTTTCTACTCATGTGTGGTAACCATGATTTCTCCTCCATGCACTGATTAACATGACTTCCCGAACCAGGAAACATCCTGATATAATCACACAGGTAAGATGCTAGATAGATGCTATGGGCTTCATGTTATCTAATGTTTTGAATCCCGAACACACTACCCTCAGCAAAGCCACAAACCAAACAGGTCCGCCGAGGCCCCGCATTGTCTAACCAGAGTGAGACACCATGATGACTAGTTCACACCTGTGTGGGAAAGTTCAGGAATGGCAAGGAGGTTCAGACTTGAGAGATTTACGACAGAGGCTGAGTTATTGTGGTAAAGACAGACTGTTGTGCTGTAGAGGTTGTGGGGGAAGCTGTCCGTGGACGGATGGGAACCAATATATTTACATGCGCAGTATAACTTCATTATTGTGAATAACCACATTATGGTGATAGTTTGGTTAAACCATTTATACGGTAAGTTGAGATGATTTGTTTGATAATTAGGTTAATGTCAGGCAGGAAACATCTTATTAGTGGCACAAAATAACGGAGGGAAAATGATGGGACTCTACTCATTCATTAATTTACTGATCACCATGGTTCAGTTATTTGGAGTGTGTGAAATTTGACGGTGGACTTTTTTTCTTCATCCTCCAACCAGTCGTAATCTCATGGTTAACTTTACAGCAAATCTTTCTGAAGCATGCACTAAATCAAACCCACACGATAAATCAGACTACAGTGTACACATGCAACAGTAATCTCAAATATAGATTAATTTAGAGGTCGTATATTGATGAATCCTTGCTCAAAATTTTAACTTAACTCTGATACAAAATATAACCATCATACTACAAAGAAATGTGTTTTGTTTTGAGTGGAAGTGTCTACTTACTAAATGCCCTGGTGTTGGAGAACGGGAGTCTTTTAGTCCTGCAGATCCAGGGACGTCCAAAAGAGGCCATTTCACTGGCAAGTACTGTGGGTGAGAGAAAAAGAGCAGAATTATACAACAGACCCAGACTCACTGCAGGGAAAACATACACAGTAATAACAACATCAAATATACAAGATTTAACAATATGCATTATAGAGACCAATAAGCTAAGGCTCTATTTCGCAACAAAAAAAATCTCTCTAATATTAACTCTTAGTGAACAGTTGGGACAGTAAAATTTCCTAGAGCATGTAAAAGTGCTGCGATTGGTGTCAAGCCCACAGGGATCTCCAGCAGACACCTGTACAAGACCCACATTGCTGCTGGAGTCAGACAGTGCATTCTGGCACGGGGGAGAGTAGGGAGAGCGATGTGAACACAACGGACTGGTGGAGGACTGTGAAAATGCCGTTTGTCAAGGAAAAACAAGAGGCCAGCTGTGGGCGCCCATCGCAGAGCAAGTGGGAAGAGACAGCTGGAAGGAAGCCCCATCTACAGAGCAGCGAAAGGTTGAGCTGCGGACTCCAACCTAACTCCTGTCTGTCCGTCTCAATTGGTTTGGCCTTTTGACCCAAACATAGCCGCTCCTCCTTTCAGTATCACTATAATAACCTCTTTTTTCTCACGTCACAAATTTTTCCACCTCCATATTACTGTTGCCCGTTCCTTTTGCCGCTGTGCCCTGGAGTGAGAGCTGTGTACTCCAGAAGAGGGTTTTGTGATTTACTGCTTGATACAACAAGCTGAGCATTTTTTTTTTTTCCGCCAGCAATGAAGATAGCATGGAGCCAGCGTTCCAAAAGCACGGCTCAACCATCTGGTTTATGAATCAGTTTAAATACCGGACACAGCAGCTTGTCATGCATGTGGATTTTCTCCCTGGTACAATTTCAAATTAATTAAAGGGGATTTATATTATAGGTTATGTTTTTGGTCATATAGGCCTATGTAGTGCAGAGACATAAAGGTATCGTAGTTTATTATATAAGTTGCCTTCTGGGCATGGAAGTGTATTATGGGTTATAACTTGTCTGTAAGACGTGATTGTGCAATCTCGCTATGCATCATCTGTTTGTTACAATTTTCCAGTGTATACTATTGTTTTTATGAATTCCTATGAACAGTTTGACGTCCACCCACGGCAAAAATCTGATGACTGAAAAAGACAAGAGATAGTACCTGACACTTAAAAAAAAAAAAAAAAGACCAGTTAAAGAATATATGTAAAGCTTTTTAAAAGTTGGTGCAGGATAAATGTTGACAAACAAGCAAACTGAAGACGTCAGGCATTCAGGTTTTGATTTTTAAAACTTCATTCATCACTAAGGGTTTGTAAGCAGGAAGGAAGCTTGGATGACTGTGGGTTAAAAATGGAAAAGACATTATAGCAGGAGGGGGGAAAGGGAGAGGAGGGAAAAAAAAACATTTTCAGGAATGAGTTTGTCGGAGCAGGCAGAGGGTATTGTTTCCTGACAGCTGGGGTCCAACAGAGCAGGGGGAAGGGGGTCCCTTTTTTCCTTCGAAAAGGGGGGGAATTCTTGGAGTTGACATCAGCCCTCTTCATTTTCACTATACTGCTCAGGGCTGAATCGTAGGTTCCAACTAATGGGCCCAAGTCCATACAACTGTCAGGAGGCAGTTGCTTTTAGAGGCTCCTAGCTCCCTATTGAAACTTTACTCTGCTGTGTGCCTGGTGCCTAATGAATGCTACTCTCTGGAGAGAAAATCCAAAACAATGCAGTTTTCTCTGTCTAATCTATGTCAATCATGAGTCCTTCCACAAATGAAACAAGCGCTATTGTGAGCGTTTGGTTTTGCCCGGCCGTGCCCACCCCAGCTCTCCCACCCAATCCATCCCTTATTTGACAGCTTCTGCCAGGACTGAGGAACATGCCCCCAGGCACTTTTTTCTGAGCGCCTACTTTTCTTTTAATTGCCAGTGTGCCCTATGGAACAACTGTTCACACACTCCCTGAAACATCCAGCCAGGTAATGCCAGCCGCACACTGTCACATTAGCTTCAGTCCAGACTACAGCAGCATACCACTCACAAACACATGAGAGGGAGAGAGAGGGAGGGTGTTTGGGTCTATGAGTTGTTTCAGGAAACAAAAGGAGAGGAATTGTGGGCCATACTGCTCAGCAAAAACTTTCTCGCTGTTAGAGTGAAAAAAAAGAATACAAGGGAAGTGTAAGAAAAAAAGTTAGGACAGCTGAAGGAGAGCCAGCACTTAAAACTGATGATTCAAATAGTTATGACATGGCTTAAGTGATACTAAATGTTAGTAAAAGATTGAAACAGGAGATACACTAATATCAATGTAACTGCAAGAATTTAGTAATGTTTTACACGTGCCCTTATTTTATTGGAAACAAATACAAACATATGGTCAGGGCCCATAGCAATGTCGCTTTCAGCCTGGGAGCTGGAAGCTCTGGTAAACAGACTCGGACAGAGTACTGAAAGAAATGTGTAACTAAAGTGAAGTTTAGCTGATCCATTTTCATAGCTCTCTAATTGTCTTCCAACCTTCCCTGCTTCCAACACTCAGAATAGACATCAGTAGAATGTGCTACTTTTACAGGACCCAGATGCGACAAAGGTGGCAGTGAAGCCACTGAAATTTTCCAAAAAGCTACACTGGAGCCCTTTGGTTTTTTGAACAGAGAGAATGCAACATATGCTCTGGGGCATGTGGCCTGCCAGAGCTGGGTTCTAATTGTTACATTGCTCTCACAGAGCAGAGGAAAACACAGCCAAGAGTCTTTGTCATCTCTGAAGTGTGTGGTGCCATACTGCAGGCCAACATCAGAGCACGGAGAAGAGACAGATGTCTGGACATTTGCTGTCAAACTAAGTCAGACACTCTGCCAAGGGGACAGAAAAAAAGCCCAAACTTTGCTAGAAACTATCTGTCGCTGCTGAAGTCATAATGACTGTCAATCAGACAAAAAGTAAAGTCAAAAGTAATATTAATAGAGAATAATATTTATGTGAAATGTAAAAAACATCCTGATTCTGAAAAACAGTAGATAGTAGTGCCAAATAGCTATTACTATCTAAAACAGATTAAATGTGTTGTGCTGAATTGCATTAACTCAATCAATCAAGAGCAAACAATTAGACAAATAAAAGAGTCAATATCTATCAAGTGGCAGCTCAGACGAGGCCTAACTCTTGTGAAATGGCTTTGCCCAACTTGTGGTGAATGCCAGAGCAACAGGAATGCCTCCACGGATCGCTCCAGTAGATAATGTCAATCACCTACTGTGTGGAGAACCCCTCCCTATTGTTTTCTTTTACCCCCCAACAGAAAACAAATGGGCAGCACAGCTTGCTGTTTGGCTGAGGTGTTAATTACCGTCCCCTGTCCATATGAACAGCAACTTCAGACAATAGCCCTGTCAGGCCCCCTACACAACAGTCCCTCCCTGGTTTATTCTGCTGATATCACCTGCTCATGCGGGGCCATTGATACCTCAACCTGATCTATGCATGAAACACAATTAAAGCTTTTGGGACAAAGACAGTGTGATAAGTAGCCCCCGCCTTGTCTCAAAGTTTGCATTAAGGCTCATTGTTTGCCAATATTAGAGGCAATTACATTGACAATTCTTAAGCAAACCTCGGCAGTCATTGTGCTAATTAGTGTGTAATTGATGGGGAAACGACAACCAGCTCAGCTGGTCAGACCCACAATGCACTATTGGGCCACTGCAAAATTTTCTGAATGGGGACCATGTCCTATTATCCGGTCCACTATGAAGTAAGTAGATTAGTCAGGGAGGAAGTTATTAATTAAAGCTATCTTAAAGAAAGGTACAAAGAGAGAGAGACAACTAAAATAGTGTAACTGGTAGATAAATTATAGTATTCGTTTAAACAGACTATTTCGGGCCCTGAAATTTTATTGGTGAAGATGTGTTTCATCTAACTGTATTTAGATCAGTCACATCAGGCACCTAAAAAAACTATAAGAACTATTAGTTTCCCCTTTTCAGTTCATAACTTGGATTTCATACAAAGCCTAGTCTCCTGGATTACATTATATTAACCCTGAGAAGTCTGCGGTCCTGCAGTGGAGATAGCATCTTGCTAATGGCTACCACATTTGAAGTGTCCATTAGCCCATAGAGGAATGAAGTTAAGTGACTATGACAGGGGCACTCCCTCAGTTTGCCGGGCCTCTATTGTGACCTGGTTGATCGTCCTGCACTCTTATTCACAGCCAGTAAAAAAAATGGGTCAAAGGTCAGACATCCAGAGTGCTGTGGTTTCTATGGCAACGTGGCCTATTAAGGCCAGGCTCATTGGCCTCTTAACGTGCCCTTGTACACAAAAGAACTATTAGTGCAAAGAGGGAGAGACGAGAGTGAAGAGGGGAGGCAGCGTGAGGGAGGTCCTAACAACATAGCGTCAAGGTTTTTCTAAGATGGTTACACACTCTGCTCGCAGCTCCATCCACTTCTGTACGTAGCATGCATACATAGATTGAACTTTTTAAAAAGTCAATGAGCAATGGTGTCATATGAGAGCCTCATGCATATTCTGTACAAGGCCAAACTGGCCAGCAAACTGGGTTTATTTGAAAAGTCCAGGGAGTGAATTTACTGCTGTTTCAGTAATAAAACAGAATTAACAGAATACAAGGCCAAACTAAATTCCCCTAAAACACTTCTTTAACATTCTGTCCCAGTGAGTGAGCTGCGACTTCAGCAAGAGTTTGCATTTTAGCAACTCAAGCAATTATTTGAATCAGCATTGTTTTTTTTTCTTTCTTCCTTTTGCACGATAAGAGTATAAGAGTTATTACTTCCTGTAACCACAGCTTTACAGTGCTACCGTGGAGCTCACATGAGTCGTTAAATGAATTCGCCATTGTTCTTATTCTGTCTCACTGACTTTCAGGTACTTTTAATCAGATGCAGTTAAAGGAAAAGCTCTTCAGTCTCGCTGAGGTTAAAGTTTGGAATAAGTGAGTAAATTCTGGTACAGAGCACAACAGCAGGTCATATAAAACTCACTGTATAATTAGACACAC